CCATGGATCTGTTTCTGGGACCAGCCAAAACTCCTGGTGAACCATGGGCAATACAAACATGCCCCTCTCCGCCGAAGGGTCAGCCTTGCTAGGAGGAGGGATGCTTTCACACTGAAGAATGTGATTCCCTGGGAGCATCAGCCAGGAGGGCTATCCCAAGGGGAAAGCACTGCTGCTTCTCAGAGATATTTATAAGAGATGGCAAACCCCTGTCGGCTCGAGCGGGCCCTTTGTTGAGTGAACACCAATGTCCAGACCTGTCGTTTCTTAGCCTCGCTGCTCAGTGATGTATCTTGAGGGCTCTCTTCCCTTGCTCGTTCCTGACATTTTTAATAGACTAGTAATAATACCCCAGGCTGCGTGCAGCAGCAAGAAGAGATGCCTGTCAAGGGTCTGATTTTCAAAAGAACCTAAGCATGAGTCCCACTGAGAGTCAACGTGCTCCTAAACCTCCTGGAAAATCCCCCCACCCTCAAGTGCAAAGTGGTCACAAACAGGTGCAAGAGTAGGCAGCAAAGCACTGTATGTGGTTCTGCAAGGAAGTCCAAATTAAATGCACCAGACTCTTGGAGAGTCATAGAATTGTAGGACTGGAAGGGACCTCAACAGGCCATCTAGTCCAGTCCCCTGCACTCATGGCAGGACTAAGTATTATCTAGACCATCCTTGATAGCTGTTTGTCTAACCTGCTCTTAAAATTCTCCAATGATGGAGATTCCACAACCTCCCTAGGCAATTTATTCCAGCGCTTAACGAGGTGGAAATTGCTGTGGGCACAGCAGAAAAAGCAACTAGGAGGAGAGCATGGGGAAAATCAGAAGTCACAAATGTACAGAGAGTCAGTCTTCATTATACACATCCAAGGGCTAACACAACAGGCATCCACACAGCAGGAGTCAGGCTCTGTCACACCCTGTGTCACAACAGCTGGTCACAGCCATATCTCATGGGACAGGAGTCACAATCGCCGCCTCAGTGATTTCCCCGGTGCAAAGGGTTGCTGTTCCTTACGGAGATCCAGACTGCCAGGTAAATGAGAGAGCGTGGATACTATGGTGATTCTGGCTATAGAAATACCTAGGTCAGTTCATGCTTAGGAGAATGCCTGTGTGTCCATTGCTGCAGCTTCCAAAATGCAACTCTCATCTTTTCATGTGCTGTGTATTTATACTTGCCTACTGTATTTTCCACTCCATGCATCTGATGAAGTGGGTTCTAGCCCACGAAAGCTTATGCCCAAATAACTGTGTTAGTCTCTAAGGTGCCACAAGGACTCCTCGTTGTTTTTGCTGATACAGACTAACACGGCTGCCGCTCTGAAACCAGCAAAGGGTTACTGGCATTTCTATTAAAGAGGAGGGATGGGGGCAGTTAGCACCCCTGATTTTTATGTCCTCCCAAAGAGCTGTGTGCACAGATGCCTCTGTGTGGTGCTGCGTAGCTTTCAGCCCTGCCCGGCTGGGAGCATGTGAGACCCTTTGGGGCTCTGGCCCCCGGCGTGCCAGAGGTGACCCTGCTCTTCACGTGTGCACTCCTGACTGGGCAGCTAATGGCTGAACCCACCGATGTTTCTACATCTGCACCAACAGCTTCCAGTTAATCTGTAACAGGAATGCGGCACCAGCGCGCCGAACATGGCTCACCTCGTGTTCTTGATGTTCATTTGCAATTAACACCTTGTACAAAGGGGACTAGGTGGGAAGGGAGAAAAAGCACGAGAAAAACAGACCCAAAACAAAGCAGTCTGTAGTCCCCTTCCCTTGCATTAGGGCGCAGTCTAATCTGCAGGCATCTCATCTGCATGGAGTAGGAAGGGACAGGGGGACTGACAAGAGTATTTACCCAGTTGCTTTGGGGACCTGCAAAAAATGCCCCCCTTGGAGTGAAATCCTCATATGTAGTGGGGACAGAGGGCAGGCGGAAAGGTCTCGGCGCTGCTGAGCAAGGCAAATAGAGCATCACAATGTATTTAAGCACAAGATCATGCAAACCATGGGAAAAGAGAGGAGGGAAACCCATTCCCAGAATTCCTCTCTGCTTTCATTCCAGTTTCTAACAGAGCAGCCTGAAGTGCTGGGGGATTTGGTGAATGGCAGGGCAGGCGAATCCGTTTAGATCAAATAACCAGCACCCCAAAGCTGCCGTTGAAACTCACAGGAAGCACGAGATATTTGATTGCTGCTACTGCTCCTGTCTCTGGGTTTCCAGGCTCTGAGCAGGCCCACAAACAGTGGAACCTCATGAGACCGGCCCAGCCAAAAGCCCTGGGAATCTCCCCACAGCCTCTCTCCTTGTCACATGTCTAGCCTGGTTTTTGCAGTGCCAGGCGGCTTGAAGGGATCAGTAAAGCAGTGGAATTCCTGAGTCCAAACACCCAATCCCCCCAGCCTTTATCGACTGACCCACTCTGCCTCCTCCCTTCTGCACCCTTCCCCATGCCTGGTGCTGCTTCTACACCTGTGATGCTGCTGCTATGGGGCAGGAGGGCCATGCAGAAACATACACAGTACAGGCAAGGGCCCCTGCTAAAAATACAACGAGCAATGGGAAATGGTATTTATAGAGCCACTGACTCTGGAGATGTCCCTGCCACCTCGATAGCCTCAGTTCCTTCCAGTTGCCCCCTACTGTACATGATAGATTCTAGGACTGGAAGGGACCTCGAGAGGCCATCGAGTCCAGTCCCCTGCCCACATGGCAGGACCAAATACTGTCTAGACCATCCCTGATGGGCTGTGGCTTTCTTAATGCTGCATTTGGACACATGGCAGGACAATACCTACAACCTACAGGGAAGCAGACATGGAAATAGTGGCTTATCCCTCAGTGCCTCCTGAAGTAGCTGTTAGTCTCTGCAGGAACTGGACATCCTTTGCCACAAGTACTACATACAGAACCACCCACCCAAGCATGGAACATTCCTGACCAAGTTCCTATTTAAATAACCCAGTTCTGCCTCTAATTTCCCTCTGGAGTTTGACGTATATGTTGTATTAATCCTTTCCGTTTCTAAATGACACTGAAGTGTCACTGCGAGCTATTAGGCAGCTGCCATGCTCCTCTCCAGAGATGGCTGCATTTTAGCCCTTAACCAAGCAAAACATGTTCAAGATCATAGGAGTTTTGCCTGACTGTAGACTGCAGAATGGAGCCCATAGCTTGCAAAGTGCTTTGAGATCCTTCTGATACATTCAGGAGCCCAGGGTGACTGACTGCATCACTACCAATGGAAGGCGGATTAGGCTATTGTGTTGTTCTCATAAAGCAGTCAAGACAGATTTCCCATTCTTCCTACCCCATCCTCCTCCCCAGGACTAGATATCACCCCGTGCCCGCTGGGGCTATTTACTCACAGGCGCTTAGCTATACAGAAGTGCTGAGCCCTAGACCTGCGAGTTTTGTTAATAGGGTTGATCCAAGTCCTTGATGAACTTGAGAGCATTTTCTCACCATACAGGAAGTCAGGGTTAGCTGAGTCGCCATGGGAACAGTAGGGAAAAAATGTGGACAAGATGAAACTTCGGAGAGAAGCTTAAGGGCTGCACAAAGAGCCACATGGAAGAACGTGAGAGGAAGAGAGGAGCTGGAGACGCCGCTGTGCGCTGCACAGGCAGCCAGGGGTCCAGCCTGGACATCTGAATATCATCTCTCTCCTCCCCCTTCAACACAGAAAGGCACATGGGTCCTCAGCTGATGCAAATCCACCTTGCTCTGGTGAAGCCAACAGATCTTCCCTGATTTACCCCCTCTGAGGATCTGGCCCATTACAGATAAAACAAACCAACCAGAGGTAACACTGACCCCACTTCTTACCGGCCAAAGGTTCTTGATGCTGCCTTCTGGCTAAATTACGCTAAAGGCCCTGGGCCAATGGGACTCCTCTGACTTTAATGGCGTTACTCCTGTTGAGCCAGGTCCAAATTCTCCTTCACTAGCCAGGGACAAGCCGTAGGGCTCCTCCAAGGCCAGATTTTCAAGCGCTCGGCCCTCAGCAGCTCCCACTGAGCCACCAAGAGCCGGCCCAGTGCATTGGCTAAATGGGTGCCAAATCCTGATCTACGGGACTTGATCCAAAGCCTGTTGGACTCAATGGGAAACTTTCCCTGGACTTCAATGAGTTTTGGATCAGGAGACCGTAGGTGTTTGGAGCAAGATTCGGAGTTGGTGTAAATCAACGTACCTCTATCCAGAGTTATGCTGATTTACACCAGCTCTGGATCTGGCCCTTTGAAGGGCTCTGTTCTGCTGATGTCAAACAGAAGTGACTCGGCTAAACTGGATAGAACGACAGTGCTGTAAAAGCTGGGGTAACTGAGAGCAGATTCTGGGTCCCAAAATTAAAGGTCCCATCAAGAACTTTCCAGCCTTATTCCTTTTTTTAAGGAAACAAACAAACCTTTCTCTGCAAAACAGATTTTCACCAACAGCACACAGCTGTCTCCTGCAAGGCCTGGCTGGATTGAAAAAAGATTAAAAGGCAGAGAGGGGAAGTGCAGAGCGAGCTGGATCTTTCGACACAGATTCTGTCTAGGTCCCCCTTTCAAACACCAGCTTTTCTTTCCACGCAGCTAGCTGTGCTGGGCAGAGAGTTGGAGTGAAACTGAGCAGACGCAAACTGCCCACAAGGAGGGGCAGGCAGCCCTCGCTCCCAGGCTGGAGAAAACGCCTCCTTTGCGCAGGGAGCTTTGCTCCATCGCCAGGAAAGTTTGAAATCCCTAATTAATTGAAACATCACGTGGGCAGAGGTGTGTGTGCGCGAGAGACAAGCTCCAGTGTGTGATTAGCACTGCCGCGCTCCTCTGGCGGGGTGAGACCCAGCTCAGCTCAGCTCCTCCCGGGACGGCTCCGAGCTCTGCAGCCGGCGCTCCCCGGCTCTGCACGGTCCCCTCGGCTTGGCTCAGGGAGAGGCAGGGGGCGCGCAGCGGGGAGAAAGTTTAGCACAACTTTTCGGGAGCCTCTTTTATCTCCCCCCCCCCATACCCTCATCCCTGCTCCCCGCGATGCCCTCCGCCTACACCCAGCGCTCCCTGGCCGTGCTGCTGCTCTTCGGCACGCTGGCAGCCCTCATGGCGGTGCTCGCCTCCATCCTCATCTTCCAGCTCCAGGCGGGCCGGGCCCAGGCCGGCTCCCCCGGCGCCTTCTCGGAGCGGGTGGCGAGGGTGCTGCTGCCGGTCTCGGCCGTGCTGGCCGCCCTGTGCCTGGTGCTCAACGTCGGCTGCCTCCTGCTCTGCCTCCTGCACAGCTACTTCAGCGCCGAGGTGTGCCGGGGAGCCGCGGAGCCGGACAGGTGAGCAGGGGAGGATGCTCTTGGCTGGGGCTCAGCGCAGTTTCCCCGGGTGCTAGAAGGGAAAAGGACCAGGGGGGCGGGGAGCATCTTGGGTGCAGGCCCCAGGGCTCGGTCCCCTGCCAGGGGGACTCTGTGCACAGAGCCTGTGGCTTCCGGAGGAATTGAACTGGGGCTCGAGGGCCAGGGGTCTGCGTGGTCACCCTCCCCGTGCCAACCCCCTGCCCCAGGGGAACTTTGCATGTGGAGCCCTGGAGGAGCTGACCTGCTGGGGCTGTTTACAGGCTCCCAGATGGCCTGGGATAACTGTGCAGAGAGGAGGGGCAGGAGGACTCAGAGACGTTAAAGACCTCCCTTGGCAAGGGGTAAATGGGAGATCTCCCCCCTCCGCCCATTGCATCAGCCTCCTCTGCAGCTTCATGCAACTCCTCCCAACTCCTGCGTGGGGCAAAGTCCCAGCTGAGCCTACATCAAAGCCAGTCACTGACCTACAGCACTGCCAGGCCTGGCACTCTGCTGTCTCCCACTTGCCCAGAATCCACCCATGCAGTCCCCATTCCCTGTCTTTTTAACTGTGGCCCTCAGGAGACCTGGGTCCCAACTCCCTGCTCTGACACTGACACCCTGGGCAAGTAACTGGATCTTTGCCTCGGTTTCCCCATTTTATAATGGGGATCCCAGCCCTGCTCTGCCTCCTAGGAGTGCATACGGATGGGGGGCCAGATAAGCTCCTGGATGAGCTACATTGCTTAGCATCATTATTAGCTACCTGACTATGCTAACATTCATCTTCGGAGTGTCTGGCTGTGGGTTGTAACCCATTTAATACCATGTGTGTGTATTTGTGCTTAGTGACTTTATTGACTACCAGAGCAAATTTACAGCTACCTTTACATCTGGTGACATTAACCCAGTATTTAACCCCCCCAACACTTGCATAAATACCCAGGGCCAGATGCTCAGCTGGTGCACATTAGTGTCGCTCCGTTGACTTCAGTGGAGGGATGCCAACTGGAACCAGCTGAGGATCTAGCTCGATATATGTAATCCAGTCTTTAGCCAGCAAGACTTGCCGGAGAGATACAGCACTGGAGCATCAGCAGGCGGCTAGAGGAGACATTAGCACACACAATCCATCCCTTGTAGACTGCGGGAGGGGGGCAATACATTCGTTGAGCACTGGCTATTTTAACCTCCTGTCGTGCTTTCCACCTGAGGAGCTCAAAGCACTTTTAGCACATCAATGAACCGAGGCATCCAAGAGCCTAAATGCTATTAGATCTGTTTTGTAGGAAAACGGAGGCACCGAGATTAAATGGCATGCCCTAAGGTCACGGAGTGAGTCAGTGGCAGAGAACCCAGGAGTCCTGATTGCCAGGGGTGGCTGGTAGCCCCAGGCCCACTGACTGCTAGCAGTGGCTCAGTTTAGCTCCTCTTCTGTGTTTCTAGCTGCTGTGGCTGGCTCATTCGCAGTGAAGAGCCTGGGCACCTGCAGAAGCAGCTGGACAATAGGGGAGCCAGCACCACAGGCCCAGCCAGCTCTCCAGGCACCACAGCTTCAAAACCACACTGCCACAGAACGTCTCTTAGGGTTAATATCCCCCCTCCCCCCCGCCTCTCACACCCACAGCTAACGCTGCAATTCATTAGCATCCCAGATACTTGGCAGATGCTATAGTAGGAAGTGCAAAGTCAGAAAAGAAGGCCAGCTGGCCAGATCCTGCATCGGTTTACCCCAGCTGGAGTTCTGGCCCCAAATTCTGTCCTTATTTGCAGTGCTTACAAGTCGTCCCCCCGCCCCGCCTTCTTTTAGGAATTGGCAAGCTGGGTTCTCTTGATTGGTGTCTGGGTGTTTTTAAAGGTGACCTGCACAGGAATACGACTCAAGACCCCAAATCATTAACCCAGAGACACATGTTGACTTAATACTTGCCAGCACATTTACACCTGCAAAACCATTTCTGAACACTGCCTCTTTCCTTGGCCTGCCAGGAACCCTGCCTGGGTTCACTGTGTCCCCTGCATGGCTGATGCAGGGCTGGTTTTGGCCAAACACAAGCACCTCACCTTGGTTGGGAAGTAAAGAGGGAAAGCGATTTGCAAATATTTGGTTTGAAAATTTATCGACGTCAGATAATGTCTACACGTACAGGCCCCTCGGTGTAACTAACGCCACAGACTTCAGTGGATTCACACTAGGGATCAATTGGACTGGAGCTGAGCGAAATTCAGAATTTCCATCCTGCGGGAAATTCCAATAGTTCAACCTTTTGTTTTCATCCTACATCGAGACCAAATGTTAAACATCTACATTTTTTGTGGAACGAAGAATTTCAAAAAAAGGTCGATTTGGAAATGACAAAACATTTGGTTTTGGCCTTTCCGATCAAAATGAAACACCGACATTTCTCAAATCAAATGTTTTGCTGTGGATTGTTACACCTCGAGTCTGTTGAACGTTAAACTTCATTTCCTTGTGGGGTCACATTGCCTCATGGGAGTTGTAGTTCAGAAGCCACATGGCCCCACTCTGCCCTGTGGGCCTGGCTCCCTTGCTAGATTACATCTCCCAGCCTGCGCCTGAAGCCACATGACTTGTGGTGGCCCATACTGCGGAGTTGGAGGGAAACCTGCATTGCATCGTGGAATATGTAGTTGGACCAGGGAGTCCAGCCCATAGCAAATAATGGGACCCAAATTACAACTCGCATATGGCAACATGCACAATAGGGAAATACAGTTTAATGTTGAACTGATGAAAAACTAAAAGTTTTGGGTCCGTTCAACAATCCAAAAATATTTCAGTTTGGGTCCAAACCAAAACTTAATTTGACTTTCCCAACAGAAAATTGAATCACTTCTGCAAAACCAAAATTTTCCTGTTGAAAAGTCTGATTTTGCGGCAACCACGTTTTCCATTGGAAAAATCATTGATGGCAAAATTCCTGACCAACTGTAAATTTGACCCAGCACCTAATACTGAGTTCAGATCTTAAAAGTTTTATTTATTTTCAAAGCTCTGCAATTCACCTTTGAAATCCCCCATTAAAACTGGAACAGGTCAATCAGCTAATTAGATAGCTAAATGCAAGGTCATACATCTAGGTGTGAAGAATGCAGGTCACACTTCCAGGATTGGGGGCTGTATTTTGAAAAGCAGTGATTCGTTAATGGATTTAGGGGTCATGGCAAATAACCAGCCGAGCATGAGCTTGCAATGCAATGTGGTGGCTAGGAGAGCAAGTACAATCCTAGAATGTATACGCATCAGAATGTTGAGTGGATGTAGGCAGATGTTATTACCCTTGGGTATGGCATTGACGAGAGCGGTTGTGGTGTCCACTCTTTAGGGAGAAAGTTGGTAAGTTGGAAAGGGTTCAGAAAAGAGCTACAAGAACAATACGAGGTCTGGAAAACCTGCCTCACAGAGAGAGACAAAACAAGTCCAGTTTACCAAAGAGGAGGTTGAGGTGACTTGATCAGAATCTATAATGGGAAGATTTCTGATAGCAGAAGGGTCTTGACTCTAGCAAAGGCAGGACAAGATCCAATGGCTAGAAGTTGAAGCTAGATAACTTCAGACTAGGAATAAGGTGCCCAATTTGTACAGTGTGGGTAATCTTAGAAACATACAAATGTCGGGCTGGATCATCACGTCCAGCCCCCTGCACTGAGGCAGGACCAAGTAACCCGAGACCATTGTGACAAGTGTCTGTCCAACCTGTTCTAAAAAATCTCCAATGACAGGGATTCCATCTCCCTTGGAAGCCTGTTTCAGAGCTTAACTACCCTCATAGCTAGAAAGTTTGTCCTATTATCTAACCCAAATCTCCCTTGCTGCAGATGAAGTCCATTATTTCTTATCCTACCTTCACTGACCCATTGAAACAGCTTCCCTACACTTCCAGATGTGGTGGAGTCTCCATGACTTGGGGACTGGCTGCCTTTCTAGAAGAGATGCTCGAGCTCAACCAGAAGTTATGGGCCTGATGCAAAAAAAAAAGTGTGATGAGTGAAATTCTCTGGCCTGTGCTGTCAGGAGGCCAGACACGATGATCCTAGCAGTCCCTTCTGGCTTTAAAATCTATTAATCACACCAAAATGTTCCTGAAGCAATTTGATCCTTGCTTACAGGGATGGAATGTCACTAGTGGGTAGAGGAGATGGAGACTCAGGACTCCTGGGTTCCACTCCCAGCTCTGCCACTGACTGACTGTGTGACCCTGGGCAAGTCATGTCCCCTTTCTGGGCCTCATTTCAGAGAGGTAAAGAACCCTATCAGCTTCCTCCCACGCACGTGGCAAGGTTCAGTTAATCCATGTTTGTGAAGACCCCTGGATGCTCCAGAAGAAGCACGCCTTTACTGTAGGGCTACCAGTAAAAAGGAACAGCCTAGTGCAAACAGCTCCCATTAAAACCAAAGTGAGAGAGAGGGTTGCAGGGTCATCGGAACCCAGCACCGGCTGACAGGATGAGTTTGTATCTAGTGTGCTGGTGGGAGAAGGAAGCAGGGCTGAACACGGCTGCTCATGGCTTGGGCACAGTAGACAAGAGCCGTTGGGTCTGAGCAGAGCTGGTACCTCACCGCCCCATTTGGTTGGTTTGCTGCAGTCACAGGCCATTCTGGTGACACAGGCTGCCTGTTGCCCCACTCTGCCAGCAGGAGTTGTCGTTTGAACCCTGCTGGGGCGACAGGGGGGGTTCTCCTACCCCTCACCAGCTCCAGTCCCAATTGCTCCAGTTTCTGTTCCTTGTTAAGCTCTAAGCTTGCCAGCCATAGCTCTCTGCCTTGTTCCTGCGTAGGGGAGACCGAGTGCAACCGCTCAGGAAGGGCTGTGAGGGGAGGGGAGCCCTAGCTAACTGCAGGTGCATCTTGCACAGGGTTAAGCATCTAAAGGAAGGCCTCAGACAATGGAATCAGGGCACTCACCTGATCCCACGTCCCCAAGGGGCAGAATAATTCTCAGACCGTGGTCTCGCTGTGAGGGGAAATGAAACAGACCCAAGCTGCAGAGACCCATCTGAGCTCAGCAAACTGGGAATCAGGACTCCTGGGTTCTATTTTCAGCCCTGCCACTGAATCACCCTGTGACCCTGGAGCAAGCTACTTCACCTCTTTGTGCCTCGGTTTCCCCTGTTTGTGGAACAGGGACAGTAACTCTCTGTCTCACAAGTGGGGTGAGAGACTTAATTAACTGATGTGATTAAAGAGGGCCAAGGAAATTCAGAGGATGTTTCTGTGACCCGTCTAGCTGGACCCAGCCTGCTTCTAACACCAGATTACAGAAAGGTTCTGGATTTCCCTCTATAAAAGTTGAGAATGTCCCAGGTTCTCTTCATTGTCAGTAACTTATTCTGAGCCCATGAGGGCAAAAGAACAGCGTTGGGGGGGGGGGGGTGCCTATGACGATGCCATTCAGCAAAGGGCTTCCCACCTATGAGACAGCTGGAGCCAATGCACCAGTGGTGACCTGGGATTTAGATCCATCCTCCAATCCAATCCCAGTGCTTGGGCCATGCACCTTGCTGACACTGGGCCAGACTCCAGGAAAGCCCCCCCACAACCAATTTGGCTTAAATAGTTTGTCCTAAATTAGCTTCCCCCCCCACCCCCACAGTTCTTAAGCAAGGTGAGAGGCTGTTATTGCTTCACCCTTCTGCTGCTGAGGGCATGGGCGTCCCTTGAGAGCTGAGTGGACTGGAGGACGGATGGGAGGCAGCGTGGAATCAGGACTCCTGGGTCCTGTTCTCTCTGCCACTCTTCTGGATGATCCTGAGCAAGTCACGTCACTTCTCTGTGCCTCAGTCTCCCCATCTGTAATGTGGGAGTTATACCCCTATGGGGGGGGGCAGGGTTGTGACACTCAAATAATGTTTGTTTGCAAATTGCTCTGAGATCCTAGAATGGAAAGTGCTGTTATGGTCTAAAAATGCCAGCCCGTGAAGGGTTAATTCTCACAGCCCCTCCGCCCCCATTGACATGCGATTAGCTATTGTCTCCCCATGTTGGAGCTTGTGTTTTCATCCTGCCCATCCCCGTCTCTGGGGGACAGCCCTATGCCCCGAGAGGAGCCGGGGCTCTGGTTTCATTAGGGGATCTGCTCACGTAGCAGGAGGCTTTCCCACGTTGGGCCTGTCACGCTGCATTACTGCTCCGCACTCAATAGCCCCAGCCTGCTCTAAACAAAGGCTGTTTCTCCCCCCTGCTAATCCCCCAAATCATGTAATTAATAAAACAAAGTGGCTTCTCTTCCCCGACAATGAACGAGGAGCAGGAGCCCTTCCAAGTTCTATTAACAGCTCCGGACTGTAAACTCCCAGCACTAGGCAGGCCAGACATCCCAGGAGTTCAGCATTGAAAAGATCCTGTGGCCTCCATCTCATCCACCTTGTAACCTCCCAGCCAGGGGAAGGGCCGTTCCCTACAGGGACCATTCCCGGGACAGCGTTTGGAGGCTTTCCCCCATTGCCAAACCCTAGGTAGCCAGATTCCGCAGAAAAGTATAGTGCAATTTTGGTCACGCTGGCCAGAGCATCGTTGGTGTTGCCTATCAGGTGTCTGGTCCTCAGGTGGACTTATCACTGCTTTCATCAGCTGGTGGCTAGAGAGCGGAGTTAAAGTCCCTTCCCTCTCGCTTGTTCCTTATGCAGTTATTCCAGATGCAAGCAGAGCTGTTACTCTTCTGCTTTCTCAGACTGGGGGAGGGGGGGTACAGAGGATTCTCCCCCACACACCATAGGCTGACCAACCCTTCTGAACCAGCAGGGCTGAGTACCAGAGATCAAACTCTCCTGCATAGTGTTTTCCCAGCACCTGATCTCACTGACCCTCCCAAGTCCTTGCTAAAGCTCTCCCTAGGGAGAAGTGATGGAGGGAGAAGGTTAGGAAAGACACTCGCTCACTTCAAAACAAAAAAACCCAAACTCCTTCCTGGCTGAAGGCTCTTGCATATCACGAGTTGTTAGGTCTCAAGTCAATTCCCAATGCACAGATACCCACATTACAAAAAGAACTGCCACCATCAGCACTAACTGGCACCTTTGCCACCAGTTTTTGGGGCCAGGGACTGCCTGGACCTAGGAGACTGAACTGCCCTTCAACTCCTGGGGCAGTTCCTCAGTGTCCAGGCCACCGCACGCATTGCCAAGAAGGGTGTGTGTGTGTGTGTGTGTGTGTGTGTGTGTGTACTGCTCAGAACAGATAGAGTGCCGCTCCCCAGGGGCTACCAACCCCTCCCTGTGTCAATCATTCCAATATCACAATCCGCCGCCGCTCCCCAGGGGCTGCCAACCCCTCCCTGTGTCAATCATTCCAACATCACAATCCGCCGCCTGTCTCTCCTGGATGAGCTACACAATCCTTTCCTTGTCTCCTACAGAGACAGTTGTGCTGCAGCATCTTTCAATCACAACCTTTAACCACAAAAACAACAAGGAGTCTGGTGGCACCTTAAAGACTAACAGATTTATTTGGGCATAAGCTTTCATGAGTAAAAACCTCACTTCTTAAAGCTTATGCCCAAATAAATCTGTTAGTCTTTAAGGTGCCACCAGACTCCTTGTTGTTTTTGTAGATACAGACTAACACGGCTACCCCCTGATACTTGACAACCTTTAACCACATTTCATCCTACAGCACTTTGTGTCCTTTTCCCATTGTGTCCCCTCCTTTCATGACTATGTTCCGCTCTCACAATTAACAAGAGGCTGGTGTGCCGGCTTCCTTCGGTGATAATGGCCCATGAAGTCCCATAAGTGGAGCGCTGAGGTTCTGTAGGTCACCTCAGCTGTAATGAAGGGAACAAAAAATCTCAAGCAGCTTTCGCAGGGTGGACAAGAACAGCTATTGAATGCCTGCTCACTCGCATCTAGTGGCAGGGCTGCTGGCAAGGCTCAAGAGAGTCTGTGCGCCCGCAGAAACCATCCGGTGTCCCAACTGGAACAAGCTGAATCTATCAAGTGGAAGGGCTCAGATACTACCGGGAGGAGCATGGAATACATGCCTAGATAGGAGCTGACCTTTGATGTTTTATGCACTGTTCAAAAAGAAGGCCAACCCCTTCTAAAATGTGCATCTAAATGAACACAGCTAGGGTCTGAGCTAAGCAAAGCAATTCAGCACCGAGGATGAAAATGCAACCTGGCTTTGCTTTAATTCACTGCAGCAGCACTTCACCCGTTCATGCTCTTTTAAAGGGCGATAGACTTATGGACGAACACGCATCATCTTTTCTCTTTGCTCTTCGTTTCTTGCAATAGTCTTTAAGAAGCGTTGAAATATTTCTCTCTCCCACCAGCTTTTGCCCTCTTTTCCAGCTTGCAGCCTCTTTAGGTTTATCTCCCTCCTTGCAGAAATACAGAGCTGAGCAAAAACGGCTCTTGCTTTGTTTGCTTCTTTTATGTAGCTGCATCATCAGTGTTTGGAAAGGGGGTGGTGAATTTGGGCTCCCTCTGCTGGCTGGCTGAACCTCAAGCAGAGCTAACGGAGCTAGGCTCCTTTGTCAACTGTGCATTGTCTGTCTTTGGTTTTCATTTCTCAGCCAACAAAACAGTGGGTGGGGGAACAGGAAGGAAAGAGATTGAAATGAAGACAACCTTGCCCCACCACAGTAGAACAACGGCCCAGGCAATCCTCTCCTTTTAGGAGATCTGGGATTAGGTACTTCGCTCCCCCTGCACGTGCCTGCAGAGACCAGAGTAGACCGCCCCATGCACACTGCTGAGGGGAGAATTTGGCTCCCTAGGAGGCAAGTTTAGAGCTTAAAACGCATCACGGCATCTCTGAGACGCTCTAGAACTTGCAGCGAATGCACTTTTCACCCCAAGTCCCGATTTTGGACTGAGGAGCTTTCCTGCGTGTAGAAACCCCTAGCCTGGGCCATGAAACTAGAGCCAAACCCCAGCCTCTTAGATCGATTTGAATACTGGGGCCTTGGCATAGCAGCTCTGCGCTGCTTTACGGAGACTCAGAGAATATAAGCTCTTAGGGTCACTAGGTGACAGAGTCAATCCCCTTGCAGGTGCAGGAAAGGCCTCTGATCAGATTAAAGTGATACTGCACTGGGATCAAGGCAGTGGGCATCACTAGATATTACTCTGTTTTACCACTGAAGTGTTTCTCTCTCTTCCGTTTTGCAGAGCCGACTGGTTCCTGTTGGACAGCCGGATGATTCGGCATGTTGCCATTGGCTTGTTCTGCTGCGGTGTTTCTGTCTATTTAGCAGGCAAGGATTTTCATTTCTCTGCCAACGCTGGGATCTCATTCCGCCGGGAGGGAGGGAGGGCTCGGCCCCATGCATTTCATCTAGGATGCTCAGGTCCCTGCCTCCCCCTGGTGCTTTGTAGGTTGCTGAACATCTATGTATAGGTCAGGCTGCAATGATCGCTTGTTTCCCAGCCGGTGTCACCAGGTTCCTGAGTCCAGGTTTGTTCCTGTAGTGGTGGGACCGGAATCCTGTTTGCAGCCTGGCTGCAGCGTAACTTCTGGAGAGCCCTTCAGCCAACCACCCTGAGCATGACGCCAGCCAGGGCTGTGCCCGAGGAAGGACGGTGCAGCAGTGCTGTGTGGGGACTAGGGCCAGCTGGCTTCAATTCCCTGCTGTGCCAGAGGCTCACGGCGTGACCTTGGGCTAGTCACTTAGGCCAGATCAGTGAACTCAAGGGGGATCAGGCACCTAACTACCTTTGAGGATCTGGGTTTTCATCTCTCTGGGCCCCAGTTCCTATCTGTAGACCAGGGATAAGAGTCCTGTTCTGGCTCATGGGAGGTTGTGAGGCGCTCAGATCCTGCACTAACAGGGGCCACCGCCAGACCTACTGTGCCATCTTGCCCAAGACACTTAGCTTCTCTCTGCCTCAGTTTCTCCCTTTGACGAGGCCATAACACTGAGAAAGGAGCAGAAGGCGGCTGTGGGGTTTTGGGATTCGGGGGCGAGAGGGACAATAGCAAGTAGTTTTAAAAGACTTTATTGTGACCTGGTTTTTTAGATACTCTAATGGTTCTGCCACTTGTTTTATGCGGGAGAAGCTGCAGCACAAGCCCTGGAAGGGAGGGATTCAAAGGCACAAGAAACAAAGCACCCCCCCCGGCCCCCACCAATCCCCCCATGATGCCCCTCTGCTGCGCTGGCTTTCTCCCGGAGATTGGTGGGGAGAGCACACCTCCGTTCTCCTTGGAGTCTCTCAGAGGGGTGGCAGGGAAGATCAGCTGTGACGGGCAAGTCCCAAAACCCAGCCCCTGGCTTGACACAAACAGGGCGACTACTCAATGAGTTAGTTAGGGCCACGACATCTGCCCACGGAGATCACAGCCCTCCACTGGGCCTTTATACACCACGCGTGGCTAGTCACTTGTGGCTTTGGCTTCAGAAGCTTTTAAAAGGAGTCGGCGGCTCTCATCCCTGCACGTCCCCAGAGACAAGGCGTGTGGGCAGCGTCCTCTCTTGACACCCAGGCCATCCAATGCTGCAAGAAAATAGCAGAGAGCTCACTAGCAAGTGTCGTCACTGATGAGCACCTTGGAGGCTCAATGTGGCTCAGCCAGGACTCCCCCCAGGCGCCAGCACTGCGGAGAACCCCCCTCGCGCTGCCTCTAGGAGCAAAGGAATTGCCAGGCTGGATCAGCCCAAGGTCCAGCTAACCTAGGTTCCCGTCTCCAACTGTGGCCGCTGCCAGCTGCTTCAAGGGAAGGTGTAAGAATGCTGTGGGGGTGGGATAACCCAGACCCAGGGAAAGTCCCCTCCTGTCCCCGTCTGGATCTCTGATGAGCTGGATGCCAGGTTCCAGGGGCCAGGCTGCGGCTCTGTTAATGGAGCCCTTTCAGGAGTGGGGCATTCAGACACTTGTTTTTTTTTTAAGATTTCAAAATAAAAAATTAAATCCAATTATTTAGCAGGCAGTGTGGGCACGGCCAGGTGCCAGCTGCTGGTAAAGAACGAGCGGAAGAGCAGCACAGAGGAAAAGCAAACACTGAGAACAGGAGAGCGGAGCACACAGGGATTAGTCACCGGTTAAGCCTCAGGAACGGGTACTGTGCATGCCTCAATGAGTGAGGTTTTCCAAAGCACCCAGGTAAACAGGACTCATGTTCCTAACTCACTTAGGCCCAGATCCAAAAGGGAGATAGGCGCCTAAATACCTTTGAGGACTGGAAACTTGGGCGCCTTTGAAAATCCCCCTCCCCACCCAGAAATGGGCCCTGTGAGTAAGTGAAGTCCGGAATCAGGCTCGTGAGGCAGTCGCAGAGCCAAGGAAGCTGCTGTCGCTCAAATTGAGATGGGGCGTTCAATCCAAACTGGACGTCCCTCCCTAACAGCTCGGCCCTTGCTCAGCCGCAAGAGGTGGGCTTGGCCCGGGACTCATTTCCCTCATGTGTCAGGCGAATGGCCTTCTTATCTCTGCCTTGCTCTCCTTCCCCTCCAGCTCTCTCCATCTACATGCTGCTGCTGTTTGAAATCGAGACCGGCATAACCAGCGCCTGCATCCTGTCCTCCGGGATCATCGTCCTGCTGATCACGGTGATGCACGCCTTCGTCAGGGCCTCCCAAGCCTCACAGCGCAGCCAGTCCGAGCTCTGCCGTACCCTCTACGAGAACGACTCCGCCCGGCGCAGCGACACCCCGGCTAGCGACCTCAACAACAGCAAGAACGTGGCTGCAGCCCGCCCGCGGCCAGAGATCCACCGAGAGTTCTCCTACCCACCATACATAGAGCAGAAGCCCCACCTTGCCTCACCAGGCAGAGGCAGCTTCACCTTGCCAGGAAGCCATAGGCCACTGGCTGAGAAGGACTGCTGCAACCTGCCCCGGACACACAGGACGCTGTCAGCAGAGCCAGGCCTGCTGCAGGTACAGGGCAAGCCCTGGAACAGCGTCACCCAGGAGATGAGGAATATTTTGTCACGCAAGCCAGGAGTCTCTGGGAAGGATTCAACTTTGGTGTGAAGGCTGGAGTGGGGAAGTCTCATCCCACCGCTGCCAAGATCTGCATCTCCCTTTAGCCCTTAACATGGGCCAGTCTCCGCTTCATCCCCACCTGAACAGCTGAGATACCTGTCCAGGAGCTCGACCAGACATCGGGCGAGGGGAAATCTACTGTCCCACCCAAATAAAAGGGACTTGGGATCCCTCCTGTCTGGACTGCACTGAGATGGAGGGGCTTGAGGGGGGTGCAGAGTTTTAAAATTATATCTTACTCCTCCTGAAGCCTGGAGGATTATATCCGAGCTCCTTCCCAGCTGGGCTGGGGCGGCCGTTAACCAGCCTAATGATTGTAGCGGGCAATTAGAGCTGGAAAGGTGGCTCTGTAAAAACGACAGCCTGCTGCATTCTGCCTCTTGCATCGCCCTCCTGTGAGTAAAGATCCTACCCTGGCAACTCGGGTGATGCAGGAGACAGAACAGGGCCCATGACAGCTCTGCAGAACGGAGAGGCACCAAACGGCAGGAAAGGGAGTGGGGGTGAGTGGTAGAGTCACTTGTCTGATTAGAGCTGCATTTCAAAGTGCCCATCACCCCGGGTCGGCCTGAGCTGGGAGGGGCAGACAGGAACCGGCTCAGCACGGCGGAATGCCATTAGTTGCGTGTCAGAAGAGAGGGCAAAAAAACCACCAGCCAGTATCAGCCATAGGAGAGTGGCCATCCTGTGCGCTGCCTTCTCCCGCAGCCCAGTTCCCCTCTGCACTCCAGGCTTTTTGTCCTTGCTGGTCCTTCACCAGCCTGCTCCTGTTATTCCTTAGCTAGCGCTACGGCGGTTTAGCCAGTTCACATGGCAGACTCGCTCCTCATCACAGCTGCTGTATGTTACGGTGAAGCAGAGATTGCTATTCCACTCGGAGAGGAAAAGCTAGCCACTGCTGGGAAGGGTAGAAGAAGACGCAGCTGGAGAGTTAGATTGAGAGAGAGGAGGTTGGAAGGTGGGAGTGAGAGAGAGGGGCCTGCTGCCTTGCCCAACGTTCCTTATCTCCAGGACTGGGCACAGACACAGCTCAGTCAACAAGATCACTTCCTGTGGCAAAACCTTTGCTCAGCACGAACCGCTGTGCCTGACCGCCTGCCAGAAACACGGCCCTGCACGTAAACACCAGCCTTTGTAGTCACTTTTCCTTGTTCTCTAATTGCCTACAAAGGACATGTGAAGGAAACAAGATCTTTGTTCACCTGGCCCTACTGCTGGTTTCCCCACTGAAAAGGCTAATCCTGGGGACAATGCAGTGGGGGCTGCCAAGAGATTGGTGGTTATACAGACAGGGCTAGGATTGATGGGGCTGGAGCAGGGGAAACAAGAGCCCTGTTTGGTGCAACTGCGCGGTTAGTACGAGAGAGAGAAATGTACAATAGGAAATAAAAATACAACAGATGGTGCTGGTTACCGTGAGACACGCCCAGTTCTTTAAACGGAGTCTGATTCACCGTTGTGTGACTTTCACTGTTATAACTCCATTGATTTCCAAAACCAACGAGGAGTCCTTGTGGCACCTTAGAGACTAACACATATATCTGAGCATAAGCTTTCGTGGGCTAGAACCCATTTCATCAGATGCATGGAGTGGAAGATACAGGAGCAGGTATATACACATGAAAAGATGGGAGTTGCCTTACCAAGCGTGAGGTCAGTCTAATGAGACAATTCAATTGACAGCAGGATACCAAGGGAGGAAAAATCACTTTTGAAGTGGTAATGAGAGTGGCCCATTTCAGACAGTTGACAAGAAGGTGTGAGTAACAGCAGAGGGAAATTAGTATTGGAGAAATTAGGTTTAGGTTTTGTAATGACCCAACCACTCCCAGTCTTTATTCAGGCTCTAAGGTGCCACAAGGACTCCTCATTGTTTTTGCTGATACAAACTAACACGGCTACCACTCTGAAACCTGTCACCAAGCAAGGCATTGATTTCCAAGTGTTTTATACCAGGAGTCCCAGCACAATGAACTGGCAATAAGTAAAATCAGGGTTTTTTTAAAGCCATGTTTCCTGCCCTGCCATCTGCAAGGATCATTCCAGGCTCCCCAAAGCAGCAGTGTGATTGATTTATTCTGACTCCTGGCCGTGTTACTCGTGTGCTAGCTTTAGGACAGCGATGGGTGCGGCATTGCAGGGAGCAAGTGGAGATAGAGACCACATTTCTGGATTAACAAACCTTGTGCGTCACACTATTAAAACACGGCTGTGTTCCTGAGCACACAGCAATGGCTAAAATACAGAGTTTCTCTCTTTAAAGTGGGGTGTGATTGTTCGGGGTTATTCACCACTACCGGGAAATGCCAGGCTAACAACCTTTTTTCTGATCTCAAACCCCCTTAAGCCCCTTTCTTCCCAGCCCTGGGAAAACCACCCACTTGTTAAAATCCTTTCCATTGGAAAGAAACATGAAGTTGTCGGCTCCAATGAAAAAACAAAACTGAAGCAACACCCCTTTCCAACTGCCAAGCTGTGTGCAGGGCTTTTTCACATCTCACTTCTTTATGGTGTCTAAAGAAGGTCTTTGGGGCGCCTAACTACCTTGGAGGATCTGGGACGTGTGCATTCCAAAATTCACCACCACTTCCCATATATCTAGTCAATATCATTGCCCTTTGCTGCAGTGTCTTTCAGTTTGAAGGGGAATAGTCTTCTAAGCAACCTCACACAGACTGACCAGAAAGTTTAAGGGTGGAAGATTTCTCGCCCTTCCATCTGGCCAAAGAGATCACTGACCTGGGCTGGATGAAAAAGGCAGAGGAAGGCCAGTCTGGTCTGAAATCAGGAACTGGCTGGCGGATTCGGGGCTTGCAGGGCAGCGGCGCTGTAAGAAAACAATCACATCCACCAGGAGATAAGGACAACAGTATCCATGGGAGTGTGAAGCACCAGGGCTTCCTCACCTACAGCCTCTAAGCCTGGAGCCCTCCATGTGCAGCATAGGGGCAAGTGTGGACATTGGACATATCCATCTTTAATACAAGGGGGGTAGCCAATGGAGGCTACATGGCCCCTATACCTGCCTCCTGGGATGTCAAGACCCACAGTCTCTGTGGCCTCACTTCCAAGAGCTGTTGGAATTTGTTCCACTGTGTGTAAATTAGGTATAGCCCCAGGCAAGTTGGCAACATGGCAAAAGAGGAGAGCTCGTAGCCACAAACATCGAGTACAGCAAGTCACTTGGCACAGAACCAGGCATTCTGCCTGCTTTAGCCATGTGCTCGCAACAGGAAATTCAAGGCTGTTAGGTTTATGGAGCAGCATCTGTGAGTTTCGTTCCCACAACGCCCCTGACACTCATGCCATTAAGGCTCTTGGGGCGATGGACTGAATATACTAGACTCACCCCATCTATTGGCAGATGCTGGAGTAGCTTTCCTTGTGCTGCAAGCAGCAAAATGCATCCTCCAGCTACACTGACCAGTGTAAAATCCCATCCACACACAGAGCCCCGCGAATGACCTAGCGAACAGTCCTGCTTCGTCAGACACGCCTTTCCTCAGCACTAAAACATTCATTTATTATTATGGCCCTCGCCATGCTACAAATATGTTTAACACTGCACAAAAATGCTACATATTAGCCAAAAGCCCCCCCCCCCCTTCTTTAAACGTAGGGAAATAAGTTATTTTGCAGGAAACATTGTAAACAAGAGGCTTTTCTTCCCAAAGTAAAGTGAACCAGAGTTTCACTGCAAGGCAAGGAGCTTATTCTTTTAAATAATAGCACAGAGTCACATTATGCGTGTAACTGCTTGGCTTGTCTGTAGTTTGCAGAGTTACAGCCAGTGAAGCCTTCAGCAGTCACAGAACAATCATTCCTATAAAGCGGTAGGGCAGTTATCAGAATTCAGGGTGTCAGACTCCCGAGCTACCTGCGGCCCTGAGCGGAATTCAGCTGATCCTTCACAGCGATGGCATGCTTGAGCAGCCTGTCGATGCTCTCAAAATACACGCTGCTGTCCATCATGTTCTTTATGGCGCTGAAACAGACCAGGTGGAACAGGGGACGCAGTTAATACTTCCGAGGGCTTCACTGGTTTAGAATATACATCACGCCAGCGAGGGGATGGCTACTGAGGATTTACAGCTACATTTGGCATTTTGCATCTTCAAACACTAGCTAAGGGGTGGATTTCATGGGCGAGACTGGCAGGTCTGTATTGCCCTCCTTGGCCGGGGAAGAAAGGGTGCATCAGACTCAATGAAAAGAACTAGACCTGACAGTAACATTTCAGAGAGCCGTGCCTGCTGTCAACGTGCCTCAGGCCTGACTCTCTGCTGAGATGGGGCCAGTTAGTGCCACTTGTGGGCTCAGTTCATCACTGCCCTGAACCTACACCAGTGCCAAGCAAGTGCAAACTGCCACCACTCTGATTTCTGCTGCGTGACACTTACTTTGCAGTGGGGCGAATGGCTCCCCTGGGCACCTGGGAAGGATGAACTGGGCCTTGTGCTGGTGGAATGGGGGGGCAGGAAGCTCTTACAGAATCTTGTGTGTGAGAGCAGCCAAGCAACACCCATAAATGGAAGCGTTTGGGGTTGACAGGATTTTAAATCAGAGGCCAAAATGTCCAAGTCGAGGTGCCTAGAGTGAATCCATAATTAGGCTCCTAAATACTAGTGGCTGGATTTGGAGAGGTGCTGAGCACCCACAGCTCCCATTAACGCCAGGAAGAGTTGAGGGTGCTCACTCTCTCTGGAAGACAGGCCCCCTTTATTGAAGGAGCCATGTGTGCAGGTGCCTGGCTTTGACCTGCCGGGTTTGAAAATAGGAGCTACATTTAGTTCTTAAAATACTTCCCCTCCCCTCAAAGGCTTAATCATCGCTCCAAGCAACTGACCCCAAAATAACCAACACAGCTTCTCGTCACTAACCATCAGGAGCAGGGAATACCTTGGGCACGACAGTGAGCTGAACGGTGCTTTCAATGGGGGGTGAAAACACACCTGTACTGTGAAATCACCAGCATGGGAGGGGAGCGGGGGGAAAGAACAAACTGAGCCTCCTTGCCAGCTCCTTTGATTTACCACAGGTTTTAAAAAGGGAGGGCAGCTGCCCCAGAGAAGTGCAAACTTCAAAGCTCTCCCAGCACCCTGCTGTACCTGCAGGCGTACTCCACAGTATAGATGGCTCCTTGACTCTGCTCCTCCCAGCTCTGCATGTCAGCCTGAAAGGCAGATCACGGGGAACACAGAATGAAACTTCTTGTCAGGAAAAGTGAAGGCGCCCCATGTACTAGACAGATATACCACCCACATCACACACACAACTAGCACCAAATGCAGCCCATTCACTGACATGCTACATAAGCATATGGAACACCTGAAGAAATGGCCACCTGTGATCTAGCAGGGAGACAGTGCAGTTCAGTGGTTAGAGTAGCAGGGTGGCAGTTCTGCTCCCAGCTGTGTTACTGACATGCTGAGTGATCTTGGGCAAGTCATGTTACCTCTCTAGACCTCAGTTTCCCTATATGTAAAATGCTGTTTTCCTTCCTTGTAAAGTGCTACAGAGCTGGTAAGAACATATTATTAGTGAGGCTCAACTGGAAACGCACTGCTCAGCCATTGATACATACCACACATAGGTCTTAAATTCTGTGTAGCATTTAATTCACTGCCATCCCCTGCAACATCCGACAGCCAGATGTCGCCTTCCTTGTAGGCTCCCATGTCCCCCTGTCTCACACAGCCTCGAGTTCTCATTGTTTATAGCTGGGAACTGACAGCAGGCAGGCCGAATTCAAAGCTGAGGTTACAGGAAACGCTGTGCACATTAAGAACATGAATCCCACATCACTTCAACCTTTGACCTCTGCTGCTTTTTGCTGGGCATCACATTATGAGTCCCTCTCCCATTTTAAAGGCTAGCGTCACCTCTGGGGCTTTTTCCGAGAGCTATACTCAGACTAAGAGTGCACTGGTTTTGTTTTAAAAAGGAGCTGCTGCCTGGAGCTAAATACTTTGCACAATCTGGCAACATTTCTCTTGGCCGTGAATGCATCCATGACACAGCTGAGAGCCAAGGTGAGGCAGGATCATACCAATGAGCTGCTAAAGCGAATGCTACTGATCATCTGGAAGTTCCAAAGCATTCCACACAGGTGGTACGTCCATTCCAGCTGGCGCAGCTACCATCAGAGCTGACTCGGTTCCCATCAACTCCAATCCAGGGCCCCTAGACAATCAGCTTCTTTCACAATTCAGGAATCTCATAGGAACTGTCCTGGTGAACATTTTTACAGCCTGCTTGCAAACCGACTTTTCCCTCCTCCAGTCTGCTAAGAAATCCCAGTGCACTCAGAGCCAGAGCATAAGTAATGACTAATACTATTAATAATAATAATAATGCCCGTTCCTATAGCGCCTTTCCTCTCAAGGGCTAAGTAAGTGCTACACAAACTATGCATAGGATCACTTCATGCACATCTGATAAGCAGCAACTCTGGTGTGGGACATAACAGCACACAGCAACACTATGGAACAGCTAAGAACAGAAAGTAAAAAAAGCAAATCACAATGAAAAGGCAGATGAATTTAGTGAGAGAGGGAAGATGGAAATGATCCATGCTTAAATTTGGCCAGAACTTGTAGGCTTAATATGTAAAATTTACAGAAGTGCCTAAGTCATTTAGACACCGTTGAAAATGTTACCCAACAAACTCTTGTCTCTGCAAAAAGTGCCAGGGGATCGTTAATGATCACTAGTGATCACAATGGCTCTCACCCCAAACCGGCAGCACCGGGCTGCTTAGCACCACTCTGGTACACCGGCTCACTACTGACTCGAAGGGAAGAGTACCCCAGGAAAAAAATCCCCAACACTGTTTCTGCAGCACGTAGCGGCTCCTTGAAGATTTTCAGTTCAAGTACTAACCCGGCTCCACACTGCTCTGCTTAGCTCTGCTCTAGTTACTTGTGAGAGCCAACAGAGTAAGAGTAAAAGGTGACAGAGCTGGGCTGGGCTGAAACAGTGGCTGAGATAGAGGCTGCGGGACGGATGGAGGAAATTACAAAGCTACAACCCTCCAGAGGGCGGCTTTGCTTTGGCCCCAGTGTTCCCTAGCACTAGTAGATTTCCAACGTTGCCTTGGATCTGAGGCCAGGCCACGACGCCTGTTCCCAGCATTCTCGCCACTTCCTGGAGCTTTCATGTTCTTAATTAGGAAAAAGCCTTTCCGCTGTGTGCCTGTCTTTTTAATCTTTTCACGACATCCTCTCTCAGAATTCCCAGGGCATCTCCTCGCATGGGGTTTAATAGCTAAAGCCAGCTAATGATATGCAATAGCACTAATGATGAATTTTGGTCGCTCAGCAGTAAATTAACGAGGAGTTCTACACCCCTGAAAGATCAGGGGAAATCCAAAAAGGCGGCTTTGTGCAGCGCAAGAGCAGAGCTTAGCAATGCAGCTCAGACACCGCGAGGCACCCTGGGTCCTGCATCTCGCTGTATCTTATCAGTGAGGTGTTAAGTCTGCCTGGAGAGCTTGAGATGGATGAAGGTTTAAGATTATTTTTAATCAAATCAATGAAAGTCACAGAGGTGACCTTCTCCCTGCACCAATCTTTCCTCCCAAATCACCCCCAACAGTTTATTCCTATTTAAACTCTCTGGGAATCTCTAAGGCCGTATCTCCAGAGAACCATATGACCTGGAACCAGACGAGGCCTATTAAGTCCCATCTAACCCACCTCCGAACCTGTGCAGAATTTTCCCTTACAGTAGATTTCCTAGCATTTTGTCCATCAGTTCTAAAAGATTCAAGTGATGGGGTTTCTACTGCTTCCTTTGGGAGCTAATTCCTCAGTCTACTTCATGGGA